GATCGATTTTTGTCGTAGCAATAAAACGACATGGCTATGTAGTAAGTCTAATCCGTGGAAATTAAATGTGTCGTACGGCAGGTGATTTAATTTAATGAATTGTTAGACCATAAAATATTTTCATTTTAATTTTTTGAAAATTTAAGGAAATTGTATTTTTGTGTTGGCTTTTCATAAAATACATTTGAAATGATGGGAAGAATATTAGTAAAAATGCACGGGGTGAGTGAAAATTAATAAGGACAAAAATGATTTTTTAATAAAAAATGAAATACTTTTGTGAGATAAGAAATCCTCACAGTAACTGCCATGGAACTATGGAGGCTAGGCCGTGCATGGCATTAGAAGCGCAAAATCAAAATTCTACCATTCAAATTCATACAAATGCTCCCATCTAAAACATCTATTGGAGCTTCATCCCCATTTGAAACCAATTCCCTCTCAAGAAAAATATCATAATCCATCTTGCTTGAAAAAATGCTCTATCTCTCCTTTTTATCACCCCAATTGTACGTTTGCATTGAATAATCCAGATATCAAACTAATAACTTAAGCTTAACTGTTCTAATACCCATTGAAACATTTAAATATATATGATCAGAGTTTGACAAGTTTGAAATCATATTTAGAGTTTAAAAAAATTGCACACATGCCGAATTGAATCAAATGGCTCATAGGTCTCATAACACCTTTTGACACAAAGCTGTAAATATAAAAAGTATAAAGAGTAATATCAGATTATGATTTATGCAGTTTGGAGAAACAATCCAACTTTGTGGACCTATGTCCGTTTAATAGCACACTACTAAATCGCTAGATAGAGATTACGTACACAAATACATTTTCTCTGAATTATTATATTAAAATCCTTAATATAGGATTTATAACTTGTACCATGTACAGATTTATTTTGGCTATCACATATCCACCAAGATTACAAGGACAAACATGATTGGCAGCCCAGCTTTTAGCTCACATTCAAATTCTAGAGGTTATGATCTCTTTGTCCTTGAAGATCTCCATCTTCATGTAGATTGTAACTTTTTCATGTAAGGGAAGCTCTAGGATGCGAGCTCTTAATAAGATCATAATATATTTTGCACTTTTCCATTACAATCGTGCAAAGGAATCTCTGACCTCTAATGCGTATATATAGGCGTCTTCATACCTTAATCCTAGTAGAAATAGATAATTAGAAGTTGTCTTTACTATAACCTCTTTAATCTTGATCCACAAGTTAGAACAAGGTTGCTAAAAGTAGCTGGATATTTAATAAATAAATATCAGTAAGTATTTGTTGTTCTAAAAGGTCTCTGAATTCAATTTTGAAGATCACATATTTAGATTTTTGCATTGGCCTTATTGATCCTCGTCGTAGAGTTTTGTAACATCTATATGTCTTCCGAAAAACAGACAAATTTATAAAGTCAAAATTAAAAAAATCTTCTCCTATCAAATAAAGGTTTCTACCTAATTAATTCGTAATAAATATGAATTTTTAATATCTCAAAAGATTAACCAACATCTTGAAACTAACAAATAAAAGATGAGAGATAGAGGGTACTCCACGAGCGAGAAACCCTAACAAAATTTATAGGTAGCTAGGTACAATAAGACCAGAAAGGGATTCATTCACTAACACACAATAACAGGTTGTGTTGACATATAACATCATCAGCTTAATTAAATCACCTCACATAGACCCTAATCTCTCCATCATACACCAAATCCAACGCAGTTTATATCGTCTATGTGTTGTCGCAATAAACTAGTCATGTTCGCCCCTACTATAGTTGATTTATATCTTAGCATTAAACTTGTCTATGAGTTCAGGAATTTATTTATCCTCTGATTTACTTGCACACTAAGAGTCTGTTCTTTAGGGCTTGTCCAGTTCCTTCCAGTTTCTTCACGTTTCTTTTAGTTTCTTCCAGTTCCTTCCAGTTTCTTCCAGTTTCTTCCAACTATTCTCATTTTCTTCAAACTCTTTCTACTTCTCACCAATTACTCTAAAAACGATATATTTTTAATTGTGATTATTATTATTATTATTATTATTATTATTATTATTATTATTATTATTATCATCATCATCATCATCATCATTATCATTATTACAACTGCTATGTTCATAACTATAGCTTATAAATTATTTTTTCATCTCACTATTTTTACAATTCACACTCATTATTTTGTTTCTTCAACTTTTTAATAAGAATAAGACAATTTTTTGTATATTAATCTACATGATAAAACAGAAAAACATCAATATGTTAAACTATATTAAAAAATTATGGATAAAATAGTGGCATAGAATGTTTTATTAATCTAACTTTATGTAAGACCTCTCACCTTTCCCTTTATTACTTAAAATTTGCTCATTTTTCTAATCTTTATAAAAAAAATTAGTCAAAATAGTTTAGAGAAAAAGACTAAAATAGGAGTAAAACATAAAAATGTAAAAATAAGTTCTATGTATTTATTCCAAAAATAAGACTTCAATGAAAATAAAATGTCAATCATGAAAGAAAAAATAGGTTTGATTACATTATGTGATATGTCTGATATTTAAAACAAAATCTTATACTCCGTAATATATAAAGTATAATGACAAATATATTATTTATAATGAATACTGCATAAATAAATTGAGGTGCAACATAACCACAAAAACTTTTTAAAATTTATATTTTTATATTTATGCTAACTTTATATTATAATTATTTTTTTTGTAAAAGTAGCTTTTTGTATTTGAAAAATAACAGTACTTTTTTTGTATCTTAAAGGTATTCATTAAGATAACGTGATGATGATGATGATGATGATAATAATAATAATAATTTATAACAAAAAGAATTTAAAATAATTTTTTTAAAAGTTTTTAGGTTTTCCAATTTTTTGAAATTTTTCCAGTCTCTTCTAGTTTTTTCCAGTTTTTTCTAGTTTTTTCCAGTTTCTTCTAGTTTTTTCCAGTTTTTTCCAGTTCCTTCCAGTTTCTTCCCGTTCTTCTGGTTCCTTCCAGTTTTTTCCAGTTCCTTCCCAGTTCCTTCTGGTTTTTTCCAGTTTCTTCCAACATCCATCTCTTTTTTTCCAGTCCTAAAGAAGAGGCTCTAAATAGTGCTAAAACTTGACAAAAACTTTATTTTCACTTGTCAATTTAATAAACTTAATCTCTAGTCAATTATTATCAAAAAGTGAAGCCAAAGTAGTACAATGTTCAATTCAACACCCTTCTCTTACTTCGCACTTGTCACGCCTCTAACTAATTTCCAGTATCCTTCGATTGCTTAGTAAACCATTTCTATCATCGCGATAAGCCTCATTGACTTCCTCCGAAGATGAGTCAAAGTTAATCTAGATGTTGTTCTATTTGAACGCCATTTTTCTTATTCCATCAACAACATAATTCTGTTCTCTTATGATGTTTCTTAATTACATAACCTAATTACATCTAACTCCAAAAAATGGAGAAAGTTTTGAGCGATTCGTCCTTGCTTGTGTGTCTATTAGTAAGAGAAATTAAATTAGACCCATTGTGAACATTAACCAATCCTATGAAGAACGTTGACTTCCGACGTTCCACGACACTCGAAATCAAATGATACCATTCTAATCAAAATTTCAACTAATCACTTATCAAGACACCATATACTCCCTCCGTCCCACTGTCTTTGTCCACTTACCTTTTGGCACACCATTCAATGCACTTCTTTAATCCATTTTATCTTGTAATTTGTATATTAGAAAATTATAGAAATTATATATTAATAATCTATATGTTGGAGTTCCCACATCGGAAAATAAAGATGAGTATCACTAGCATATATAGAACGGTGAAGCCCTACCTATCAGCTTAAGCTTTTGGGTTAGAATTGTGGATCCCGACTTTATATGCAAGTGGTTAATTTTACCCGACACTCTATCCGTTGTTCTCGGCCCACCGGAATTCTATCATGGTATCGGAGCAGGTCCGGTCTGGGTTTGATTGTTACTGGTTGTTTGGATGTGGGTTTAGCAAAAATGAGTTACCCGTCTGTGGTTTGGGCTGAGTTGGCTAAAAAGAGCTTGAGATGCCACCGCCCGTTGTGTGGGCTAGCTATAAGAGATTGAGATGCTAGACCCGTTTGTCCAAGTGCTAACTAGGCCAGGCTAGTTACCACTTGCGGGGGAGTGTTGGAGTTCCCACATCGGAAAATAAAGATGAGTATCACTAGCATATATAGAACGGTGAAGCCCTACCTATCAGCTTAAGCTTTTGGGTTAGAATTGTGGATCCCGACTTTATATGCAAGTGGTTAATTTTACCCGACACTCTATCCGTTGTTCTCGGCCCACCGGAATTCTATCACTATATGTTAAGACAAATCAAACAAGATCACACATGACTATATTTAGGCTTACACATTGAGAGAATTGAAGAGTCAAAGTGCTTAGATGAACAGCTCCAAAAGTCAAAAGTGGACAAAGACAGTGGGACGGAGGTAGTATATGTCAACTTTGAGAATTTAAGTTTCAAATTTATCTTGTAATTTGTATATTAGAAAATTATAGAAATTATATGTTAATAATCTATATGTTAAGACAAATCAAACAAGATCACACATGACTATATTTAGGCTTACACATTGAGAGAATTGAAGAGTCAAAGTGCTTAGATGAACAGTTCCAAAAGTCAAAAGTGGACAAAGACAGTGGGACGGAGGTAGTATATGTCAACTTTGAGAATTTAAGTTTCAAATTTAATTTTTAATAAAAATTAATATTGTAATCATACTCCAAACTTTCACACTTCATACTTTCAATTTTCAAACTCCATTGGTAGACACAAATGACTATTTATGTATGCAACAAGTTTCCTCTTCCCTCCACACATATATAAACCAACCCATTCTCCGATCCTTTATATATTCTCTTCTTCTACCTTTTATTTATTCCTTGTGCCAACCCACAAACACAAAAAACCATTCTTAGCTAATTAAGCACAAGTACTAACTAATCACATCCACTATTTATATATGATGGGTTTTTCATTTTCAAGTACTAAGAGATTTCTCTTAAGCGTCGCCGTTTTGGTGCTCTTCATTTCTTCTTCTTTGATCTCCTCAACACAGAGCAGAAAGATGTTATCTTTGCCGGAACCAGATCATCGAAAAACGGGAAACGGCGTCGTTTTTGGCAAATCAGAGGTAGGTAATGCCGCCGCCGCCGGAGGAGGAGGCGCCGTCTTCGACGAGAAGCTCGTCGTCCGCCACCTCGCCGCCCTCGACCGGATTCTCCGATCTGTTCCCTCCCCCTCCACCGGGAATTAATTATTTAATTGATTTGTTGTTGTTTATTTTTTTCTTTTCTTTTTTAGAAGAAAAAAGCTCAAGTTTTGGATTAATTCTTTTCTTGTTAATAGGTTATATATGGTCCACACAGTGTATAGCTGGTGATTAATTGTTATAATAGGTTTTTTTGTTTCTGGGATTTAATTAATTTCCTGGGATTTTCAAGAACTATACGCAAAATATAGCAGATTTTTGTCATTTGGATGAAATTTTAGGAATAAATAAGTGTGAATTACTATTTGTTCTTAATTTGAATCTTATTCATTCAAAATTTTATGTATTTATAAAGTCATAATATTTTCTATCGAAAATCATATCAATAATGCTACGTGTACATAGTCACTTATAAATTATTTTGTCTCCTTCCGTCCCAGTGTGTTTGTCCAATTTGACTATTTTAATTTAAATGGATGAATTTTGATCTTCAATTAAATAAAATCATAATATATATTTAGATAAAATTAATTTTATTAGATTTATCTTATTGAGAAGTTTCATAATTTTATTTCATCATACTAATATGCAATACAAATTGAGAGTAATTGAAATCCAAAATTTTTTCAGTTTAACTCGAAAAAGTGAAACTGAACAAACACATTGTGACAGAGGTAGTACATCAAAATTTTGCACTGACATAAAATGCTAGTTGTACAAAATTGTGATTATGCCAGCATTGCACTTGTATTTTGTGTCATATAAGAGTTGTGGTATATAAAATATTTTAATTTCAAACAAAACCATATTTCCCAAGTTTTTTTTTCTTAGAACCAAACACTGTATGAAGTTTGACTGACTTTTGGAATGGTTGATGGGTGTGCTTGAGATCTGATTGGTGGACAAGTATATGTGGTGCCGTGTTTGCTTGGCCGCCAGAGTTTGACTTTCCATACGTGTTGTGTTACACCCTGGAATTTTAGATTTACTAATTAAAGGTAAAAACTTTCACCTACACATTGGCTAGGCTAATAGCTCTTAATAATACTTAATGTTTATTAGATAATTTGCCCAAATGAGATTTAAATATATCATATTTTCTCAAATAAAAATATTCATATTTATTCTAACATTTGACTATAAATTTTTTTAAAATGATATGTCTTTGAAAATGTGAGTGCTTCATTGATAGCCAGAAAAATAAAAAGCATTCAAAATAAGTACAAATTGATATTAATAATGTCTTTTAAACATTTGTTATACAACACTTCTTGCTAATGACCACGTTCGTGCAATCAGTCATTATCCAACAGTTGTTGTTAATTATCCACATTCAAGTGTTGGATAATATCTATTTCCGCAGTAAGATATCCTTATTTCACTGAGTATTCAAATTGTTTTCGCTTTATTAAACTTCTAAGTGCAATCACCATATCTCTCTAGTGGTTGAAATGGCCATCGTAAATAACAAGGGAGGGTACTTCTTGTTGTCTTGTTTATCTACTCTAATCACTTTGTCATTATAAGATGGAGGAAGGAAAATAGACATCTTTGACTTGTTTAAGAATAACGTTAGAGATTAGCGTTAGCGTTTTGAAAATGTTATCTACAAACTACGGGCAGTGTATAGCGTTAGCGTTGTCAAAGTATTCTTCACATACCATTAAAATTTATCTAAAACGCTAACGCTAATCTCTAACGATATTTCCGAAAAAGCTCATTATCTGTAACTCATTTGCACATGGTCTATCATGGTCCATTTGCACATTGACTCCACCAATTTTCATTATGTTGAGATTTGCAATGGTCTATTTGTTAGGTTATCCATTGCATCCAATCCTTTGAATGAGGATTAATGATCTTGGTCGGACCTTATATTCATTTTATGTCATTGGTCACATTCCTCACAAAAACACCAAAGAAAATAAGTATACAACATTTTCTTATAAGTTGAAAACTCCAAAAGGTAATAAAACTAGATAAATTTGCTCTATATAGGACTAAAAGAAAATATGTTTTTCCTGAATAAGATGAAATATATTTTATTTCATTTATGACACATATTTTCGTATGATTTTCTATATATGCTCTTATTAACAAAAAAATATTGGATAATACTTGATTATACAAACGACTCTACGAGTGTGGTCATTAATAACAAGTGTTGATAATGACTGATTATTTCAATAACTATTTAAATTGTTTTTTTAAGAATGCCTTATTCTACTTAAATTGTGTAATATGTCATTTTTTCAACAGAAGACATTATTAATATCTATTTGTAGTTATTTTGTATGCTTGTCATTTTTCCGACTATTAATGAAGCACTCACATTTTCAAAGGCAAGATAATTTAGAATTTTCAATTGCCAAACATTAGAGTAAATAAGACTACTTCTATTTGGAGAAAAATAATACTCCTTCCGTTCCACAAAACCCTTCCTCTTTCGTTTTTTTGTTTTTCTCAAAACACTTTCACTTTCTATTAAAAAACCACTTTTACCCCTACTTTTTCATACCCTACCTATCACATCATACTTTTTCACTAATAACCAAGTTATCATATCTTACTTTTTCCCATCACATCAGGGGCAAAATTGGAAAGTCAACCAAAATTGCACTTTCTTTATTTTTCCCAAAGTCAAAACCGGAAGAGTTTTGTGGAACAGAAGGATTATAAATTTGAGTCTCATTTAAGTAAATTACCTATAAAACTTTGGAATGAACAGAATATTACTCCGTACAAGATAAACAATACATGCCAAAAGTCCTTGAAGTTTACGAAGAACAAAATTATTGGGTATATAAATTAAAATTGTCTAGTGTAGACTTTAGACTCATAGGCCAGACCACACAAAATATCACCAATGGGGCCTCAACGGAGCGAGCGAGTTGGGTGGTCACACGGTTACACACTTAATAAACCACACCGACTGTTGCCGGGAATGTCTTATTCAACAGATATATTGAGCCATACACAATTGGAACCAAACCCTATTTATTGAGAATTTTGAGGCTTTGGCCGGCGACTTAGCTGCCCTAACGCGGCCACCGTCGCCCTGGTGGGCCAATTGCCTTGTTTTGTCACTCCGACCCACTCTATACTTAAAAAAAAAAGGATGACATCCTATTTTTGAGGGCCCCTCAGCATCGGCTACACAGTTAGCTAGCTGAGAGAAATAAATTGAGTTATGATTTCAGTCACTTGACATAAGGATAGAGTTCTGCGTCGGCTACTGGCAGAAATCCTATGCTTTACGTCGTTCTTACCCACTCTATACTAGGAAGTAAAAAAGCTTGTTTATCCAAGAGTTTATTCTTGACTAAAAAGATTACAATAGTTACTACACTAATTCAATTAGAATACCTACGATGTTGAAACTCAAAAAATGATTGTTTTGAATCCATAGTCGTTATATCATAGAGTAACTCATTTCATAAATGAGTCGTGCTTCAAGCAAGTCTCTCAAAGCTTGAGCCTACGTCAAACCCGCTCGAAATTCATACTCCTTTCAGCAAATTAAATATAAGGATTGTGTTAGGGGTACACAACCTAGTACACATCACTTGCACGTTAATTTTGTTACAGAGATACAAAAAAAATTATTGTTTGTGTGTGTCTGTAGCACACATGATGTGCAACTGATGTACAACAAAGTGGGGTACACAAAAGTTTATGGCAATTATAAACTTGTCTAAGTCCGACCTACTCCCTCCGTCCCTAAATATTTGCCACACTTGTATTCCCGAGGCAAAATATCAAGTTTTTTCAATTCATTTTATTTACATATTGGTATAGAAATAAAAAATAAAATTTACATATCAAAAAACTACATGAAAAGTTCTTTGAAATAAGAGGTGTCAAGAATATTTTATTTTATCAAATAACCAATGAAAACGTAGAAATAAACAAAAGTTCCCGCGACTGCTGAAAATGCAAACGTTGCAAATAATTTGGGACGGAGGGAGTATATCTTACATCTAATTTCAATTGTTGTGGTACATTGAAGGTTTTAAGGGTTTGGTTTCTTCACATGATGCGATTGGTTCTGATCTGTATATTGTACTCTGATCTGGTCTGATCTCATTGTAATATTTAAAGATATTTTTTATTTGACTTGATTTCTATATTTAAAGATTATTATTATATAATTTCTATAATTTTTTAATATACAAATTACAAGATAAAATGGATTAAAAAAGTGTATTGGATAGTGTGTAAAAATGAAAGTGGACAAATACTGTGGGACGGAGGTAGTACGTAATTCTTAAGTACTCCGTAACAAGAATGAGTTGAAGACAACCATGTATAAATGTGAAAGCAAATCATGTGTGGCAATACTTGTCAAAGTTCAAGGCGGGCACACATTAGAGTAGATTAGTTAATTTAATTTTCAAAGATGCCCCAACAATTTCCCCTTAAAAACATGTTATTGAAAGAAAATATGTTTTCTCAGTTTTTGACCCAAAAATAATGAGCAGCACAACATATTGCACGAAATTCCACCTCACTTTCCATACCCCCAAGAATTTCAGCTTTGACTTGTCCTAATTC